AAAAAAAAAAACCACTACATAAAATACTGTAGTTTTTTTTCTTCCTGTCTTTTATTTATTTATTTGTTCTTTTGTTTTATAAAATTTAATCACATTGTATTGTTCCAGGAAAATTTGGTATAAAAGAACTGGCTCTAGTGCCAGGCATGGTGGGGCACACCTGTAATTCCAGCAGTTTGGGAGGCTAAGGCAGGAGGATTGCAAGTTCAAAGCCAGCCTCAGTAAAAGTGAGGTGCTAAGCAAACTCAGTGAGACCCTGTCCCTAAACAAAATACAAAATATGGCTGGGGATGTGGCTCAGGGGTCGAGTGTCCCTGAGTTCAATCCCTAGTACCAAAAAAATTAAAATTAAAAAAAACTGGCTCTAAGGATGCTGTGATGCAGTTATACTGAAGAAAGAGGCATACAGATCCAGGGTTACACAAAAGTACAATTTATTTAGGATTTAATGATATAAGTGTGGTCAAATACAGCAGCAAGACCAATGAATTTGAGACTTGGGTTACAGGGAGGGACTTATATAGTGGTCAGTATCAAAGTGATTTCAAGAACTAGAAATAAAGCTCAGTTGGTAGGGTGCCTCTCAAGCATAAGGACCTGGGTTCAATCTCAGCACCATAAAAGTGATTTCATTCAAGCTGGAAGATACCAGGTTTATCTCAAGCTAACATCAAGAATGTCAGGCACATTCTAGCAGCACCAGGGGGTCCAGTTGATCCTAAAGTCCACATTTCTTTTTTTTTTTTTTTTTTTGGGGGGGTGAACCCAGGCCTCATGCATCAAGACAGGCACTCTACCAACTGAGCTATATCCCCAGCCCTAAAGCCCACATCTAATTCTACTGGTTTTGTTTGTTTATAGAGTGAAAACAGACCTGGGTTACTCAGGAGTAGTCACACTTGGTGTTTACAACTCAAGGTAGTCATAGTCAGGTTAAGCTGAATTCTTACATGTTTAAATGGTTTTCTATATCTTTTTCATATAACCTTTTATTGTGAGCATCTCCCTCGTTGATATTTTCTCTATGACATAATTTGTAATTGATGCAAAGTATTTTTTTAAATAAATATGAAAAACTTTATACAAACTTTAGCCATTTGTTTTATCTAGTTTTTGTTATGATGGCCATCAATCACTAAGATTAAATCTCTATTTTTTTGTGTGTGAAGGGGAATTGAACCTAGGGGCACTTTACCTCTGAGCTATGTCCCCAACTGGTTTTATTTTTTATCTTGAGACAGGGTCTTGCTAAGGTGCTTAAGTACTCACTAAATTGCTGAGACTGGCCTCAAACTTGCAGTCCTTCTGTCTCAGCCTCCCAAACCGCTGGGATTATAGACATGTGCCACCACACCTGACTTTTTTTTTTTTTTTTTTTTTTTTGTGGTGCTGAGAATCAAACCCAGGGCCTCCACTATGCTAAGGAAGCACTCTACCACTGAGCTACACTCGCAATCAGCATAGGATAAAATCCTAGAATTTGAATGAATAGGTCAAAAGCTGTGTGCAAGTGCCAGGGGTGTAAGTTCCATGGTAGAGTGCTTGCCCAGCACTGCAAAAATAAAAAATAAAATTGATCTTCATCTCTGAGTGTCATGTCCTATATCTGGTGCCTGTAGTCTCAGCTACTGGGGGGCGGGGGTGGCTGATGTGGGAGAACTGCTTAAGTCCAAGAGTTGGAGGCCAGTCTGGGCAACACAATGAGATCCTGTCAAAATTAAACAACAACAACAAAAAAAAAACAATAATAAAAACCCTGTATACTTGCACAGTTGTAGGTTTTTAAAATCATACTGCTAAATACCCTTCTAGAATCTTTTGGGTTTTTTTGGTACCCAGGATTGACCACTGAACCACATCTTTAGTCACCCTTCCCCTTTCAAAAATTTTCTAAGCTGTGGATGGACATAGTATCTTTATTTTTTTATGTAGTGCTGAGAATTGAATTTAGGGTCTCTCAGGCTACCGCTGAACCACAAACCCAGCCCATCTCCAGCTGTTTTTATTTTTTATTTTGAGATAGAGTTGCTAAGTTGCTTAGGGCCTCGATAAATTGCTGAGGCTGGCTTTTACTAGCAATCCTCCTGTCTCAGCCTTCCCAGCCACTGGAATTACAGGTGTATACTGAAAAGACCCCCGTTTCCCTGTCCAAGGAGAATCACACGAAACACTGGCTGCAATAAGCAAGAGGTGATTTATTGGGACACAGGCGCCTGCGGGTGCCCAGCAGAACCTCAGCCGGAGCTTTGGTGAGCTGGCACACCGGGCTTGGGGATACAGAGATTTTTATAGGGTAAAGGGGCAGTTTTCGTGCACGGTAAA